AAAAACCCAGTAATACTTTGCCCGACCCGGGAATCGAACCCGAGACCCCTTGCCCGGCAGTCGCACTTGCGACCACTGGGCCAACGAGGCAGTCATTACATAAAGATATTATTATGGTAGCCTAAGTATATTGGTTTTGTTATAACAAAAATCTTACCAAAGGAGTGTTGTAAAATAATCCAAAGATCATTCTAGGTAAGAGCGGCAATACAACATTTTTGAAGCACACAACTTTTCCTCTGAATGTTTTCAGATCCCAAATAGGATTGTCAGTGAACGCCTTAAATGTTTCTTTAAAAGCTGATTCATATGTAAATGTTTCCCAAACCAAAATGTGATTATCCTTTGAGAATGTAGAAGGATGAGTTGAATTCACATGTAGTGACGCATACAAGTTGAAGAAGTCACAGAAGTGGTGGTACATGTTAACAGCTGAAACAGAAACATTTACATTTCTATAAAATATGTTTACATTTCATGTGGTAGTTTCACAATACAGCCTATCACAGAAATCAGAGCACCTTGCCTACCAAGTAAATACAAATTAATCTCATACCTTGTATTTATGACAGTGAAAAATAAATCTAAATAAAGAATCAGTTACTATAACTGAACAACTTTAGCACAAGACAATTTTCATCCTTGATATAAAAATAATCTAACAATTACATACTTGCATCCAATTTCATTATATATGTGGGTTTCTTTATTACTATGTCACACATCCCATCAGGTATTGGTCTCTGTGGTGTCTTGACAAAATGTATGAGTTCAGGAGCCCACGACTGTAAAGCACTCATGTGGTCTGCCTCCTTCTTCAGTCTCTCGGAATAAAAGTTACAGAAACCACCTGCAAATTAAAAAGATAAACAAAATTAAGTCTTCACTGACACTGAACTGTTACAATAAATAAAATACTGATTATATGAATTAATAAAATCTAGTGGTAATTAACTTCATAATATAAAGTGAAACAATAAGTGTTGGACTAACTAGTATGCAAACAAATGACACAATTAAAGTTAGAGAGCCATGATACTAATTGAAATAACAAATGGTGAGATATACAGTTGTCCCTGAAGTCAACGGTCAAATGGCACCAGGTGATCAGCAAAGCTCCAACAGCTATCAGAAAAATAAAATATAAATTCCAGGTCAGATAGTTTTTACATTACAATGACTTATGTGTTATGCACGAAAAAGTTTTAAGTAAGAAGTTAAGTTTTAAGAAATAATGTTGGGAGTGACATACCATTTTATTAGAATCCTTACTAATATTATAAATCGGAAAGTGAGTTTGTTTGTTTGTTTGTTCCGCTTTCATGCCGTAACTACTAAACCAATAGCTTTGAATTTTTGCAGACGTAAAGTTAAAACGTAAAGAAGTCCGGATTAAATAATAGGGTACTTTTTATTTCGGAAAACTTTGATATTCCCGAGGGAAAACAAAAGTATTGGTATAGATGGCGCTATGTGTATTGGTATATGTCACATAGGGTACTTTTTATCCTTTTGTGACGCTAGCGAAGCCGCGGGTAAAAGCTAGTACCTATTAAATGCGCCAACTTTGGTGAAATTTGCCACTATGACTGCAGTATAATTTCTTTTCAGTGCAGCCACTTAAAAGTTACGTGAATAATACATTAAGAATACTTGGTTCGTCATAAAACGACATTCTTTTCCAAACTAAAGCAGTTGAATCATAATTTATGATTCAATAATATTGTAACACTAATATAAGCAAAAAAAAATGACAAAAAAATAAAGAATTGTGGCAAAACACATAAGTCATAGTAATTTAAAAACTATGTAACTAGGATTTTTTTAAATATTTTCTGATATCTGTAGGAACCGTTTTGATCACCTGGTGCCATTTGATTGTTGACTTCAGGGACACCTGTAGATACATTAATTAAGTACATTGCATTACCTATTTGACCAGGACCTAGAATATCAATCTTGTATCTCAAGTTGTCCCCACGACCAATAAGGCCTGTGAAATTTAACATCATGTTCCTGCCTCGGCAAAATCTGAAATTAAATAGTCCTTTTATTTGGGATTAATCCATTAATAAAAACATTTGATGAAAAGAATTAAAACTCAATGATTACCTTAAATATTTGGAGCATTCCAATGAAGTGTCATCAGGATATGTTGCTTCACACATGACCATTAAATCATCTATTTGTTCTTTCACATATCCTGGAATTGATAGAGACCAATATTAAATTATATCAATTTATGATCAAGAAACAAAGTATACAAAATTCAGTAATTTATTCAACATAATATAATAATTATCTATGAAATGCAGAGAAGTTATTATATATTACATACAATAACTAGAAACAATAACAATAATATTGACAGTAGTTGTAGAACTATAACAGAATTTATTAACATTTATTCAGGTATTAAACTGTCAAACACCGAGCGGTCACCGGTGAGCACAACCGATTGTTCTTTAATTGTGTCTATAATGACGGTACTCAACAAGTTAAATGGTTCAAGGACAACTCACACTCTACAAGTAGAAATAAATAATAATTAATTATATATGTAAATAAAATAATTTATTAATGCACATACAAATAATGAAGATTTCCATTAAAATATAATGTCATATTTTTTATTATATTTTATACTTTCAAATTTAACATATGGATAATATAAGAATATGCCAGAGTAGACAGGTACTGCCTACTGATCGTCGCGATCAGTCGCGATCAACTGAGACAATACAAAGAGCAACTATCTCTAATCACTCCACTATGGTAACTTACCAAAATCAGCTTGAGTGTAGAAAGTATCATACTGAGCCTCCTTCGTCTTCACCCAACCACGATGGTCACCAGGGCAAACAGGACGGACCGGGTACGAAATATCTCTGTTACAATTATGTTCATAGCCCCAACACCTCTTAGACTCTGCCAGTTCTTTGTAAGAACATTGTGGATCTGATAGACAAGCATCGGCAACACTAGGGAAAGCATTGAAAACATATGTTACATGTTCCGGTGGTACATTTAAATCACCGATTCCGATTGAAGTAATACTATTTAATGATATTAGAATATAGAGAGAAAATAGGGGAAGCCACATATTCACAAGTTTCAGTTAGGTTTGCCTGCTTTTTTACACTACACAAAAGTTTTGAAAGTTTTCAACTTGAATGTTGACAAAAACTACAAAAATTTCGAAAGAGAAACAAAATAGATGTCCAAATGACAACCACTGACACCTGACACTGACAATGACAACCGACAAAGTGACAGTCAGATATTGACACAGTGAATTTTTTTTAGAGTAGTTACTTATGAATTAGTGTAAGTCCAAAGTCCATAACTAAATTATATTCAATAAAGATCTAGACCAGAACGCTAATTTGTCTGTAAATAGTTACAAGTTATTTATTTTCATTGTAAGCTACATTGCTAAAAAATTCTATCTGGGTACGTAAGTCTCAAACCTATCATCTTAATTGACTCTTCTTCTCTTCTATCTCAAGTGACTTTCAAGCTCAGTGGCGTGCCATTGGAGAGGCCTAAGTCTAGCAGGACGATAACAGGCTGATAAAGATAATGATGAAGTAACTTTTGTGTCAAATAGTGATAATTACAAATGCGTTCAATTTTCGGATTTTTTAAGTAAATAAATGAATGAAGGTAATTGGATAACACTATATTTTCGTTAACTTGAATTTCAACTAAAAAGACTCGTTCCCGATACGAGGTCAGAAAATGTTGCCGCTATATTATGAGACGCTTCTGAATTTGTTCAATAGATGGCAGCATGTACAATTACGTTTGGCGCCTTTTCCAGTTACAAAATTCCCGGCGTATGCCACCGCTACTACCACGTGAACACAACAGCAGTCCAATCAGCTGGTAAATCATAAAACCGCCCGCCCGCCTCTGTCTATTTACTCTTCCGTTGTTTAAAATTGGGCTTTTATGTGCAATGTTTATTTCTTTAAGATTTCATTTCATTAACTTATTGTGACCTTAGTGTTATTATCAAGAAATTGTGTTAGAAATAGATATACATTATAATTTGATTTGATTTTTCTGACCTTCGAAGTTAACCCAAAACTAATGTCGCCATTTTGACCATACAAATCGAGTTTAGTAGGTATTGTTATTTTGTTTGGTCATCAACAAATGTTTAAATGCTACATTAGTGAATTACGTAAATGGATGTACATTTACGAAGAATACGGAGAAAATGTCTCAGACGAATAGTACTGTAAATTTTCTTATACATGACGCTAATGGTTAGTAGCCAAGCTATTTATTGTAAAGCTTATTATTTTTACTATAAATCTTTGAATGTTTAGAAGTCTGCAGATAACTTTCCATGGTCATGCAATTTTAAAAATTTACAGTGTTTCCAAAGTAGAAACGACGCGCTCGGTTGGACAGTTTCCTTTTGTCAGACAGTGGATTTGTAACTCCAATCAGTACAATTCTTTCAACCTTCTCCTAGACTGCTTGTGATATTTAGCGCTAAATGTTTGAATCAGTGTAATAGCTATCGGTAGCTCGCATCTTTTCGTGAATAAGATGACCTTAATCTAACGAATGCAATGTTTTATTTTAGGGCATCCTCAGATGGTAAAAGTTGTTCAAAATACAAATAATCAGTCACTTGCTCAACTTAAAATTAAACCTAATCCTGTCAAAATTATAAAACTGCCAGCATCAGCTGAAGGAATCAATAAGGTATGTGGTGTAATGCTTTTTGATAATTTACTCCTTGACACTAAGCAGAAGTTGAATTGTTTTGTGTTTTTATTTGTTAGATGTAATATTATACAGACCTACATATGTATGAGCATAGGGATAAAGAATTTAAATAGTCATATTTATTTGACACCTTTGAGATCTGAAGAGGCTTGAACATAATTTTTTTGTATGTAGTAATTTTTACATTTTTTTAGTTAACTGACCTTATAAAATTTTGCTAACCCCTAGATCCCTAGGGATCACAACATCATCAAAAAAACAACAAGGATCTTTGATTTTTTTTATAAATACCTAACAAATCTGTATTTTCTTGTCAAATTATGTTTTCCAATGTCGAACAAGACCAAAGGTGTACCTGTTATTACAAAAAACTACAGTATCTCAAAGTGGATATTATCATTGAATATAATTCAATAAACCTAGTTAAACTTCAACATTAATAAATTCGTTATTCATTAGAAGGCTGAGGTCAGCCTTATTTAGTAGAGCAATTTAAAATGTAATCTAAAAATAACTGTAGATCACACAGAGAGATCTTTTCTGTATCTATTGTTTTAAACTGATTTTTTTTAAACATAGTATGGGCTGTATTCCAAAAATGATTCAATTACATTGGTAATAAGTAAGTACATTAGCAAAAAACAAATTATGTATAACTAGCTCAACATATCACTCACATTTAGATGAATATTCAAGGTATGTAATTATGGTGAAATTGAGCAATGACAAATTGATAATAAAATGAGAGATTATAGTAGATTCATTCATTATATTATAATTTATGACTCATTGATCATGAAGTACAAATATTTCTTTTGTTGATTGCAGACATCAGTGTATCGGGCAGTAAAGTTGACTGGAATCAAATGTGCATCAAGTAAGCTGATTTCTCTAGTCTTGTAACTGTTGTTTTTCTACTAAATTAAAAGGTGTAATGTTTGTATGCATTATGTATTCACACATTCAATTTATATAGAGGTTACTAAAGCTGATTCCATAAAAATTAATTTTCTTATAATTATTTATAAAGCCTTGTTTTTATAATCATTGATGAAAAAGAAAATGATGATTGTAGGCATAACTTAGTGAGTTAGTTGTCAGTTTACTTTGATTCTTTATTTCGTCTGATTCTTCATTTTTATTATTTAATTTCAGAGTTTTTACAAGTTGACAATTTACCAAACTTACAAACAATTAAGGTTGAACCTACGGACCCTGAAGAAGAAAATCAGGTAATTTTGATCTTTCTCTACTTATAATGATATACGCAATTCAAATTTAGTTCTTGAACATAGTCATTGGTTCAATTCTGTGGAGCACAGCTAAGTAGTAATTTTAGTCTTTAATTTTGACTGCTGTTATATAATAAGGCTACCCCAATGTATCATTTTGGGAAAAAGATCATTGTGATTTGCTGATCTTTTGCTCTGATATGCTATAGTCAATTATGTCATTTGTTCCTCACCTTTTAAACCTGCATATTTTAAAACTAAGTCACTCTACATGGACTTACATTATACTTTTTTACATATTTAATTGATAGCAAAGGCTAATAACATCATCTTCTATGTTTACAGGTACAACCCAAATCATTGTCAGAGCTGAAATATATACAGACTGTGCCAGACCTAAGTACTTTACCAACAAAGTCTGATAATTTAGTAACAAGTACTAGCACTGTTAATAGTTTGTCTCCAGTGATGTCTCATGCTTCAAGAAGGAGACATGATTCTGATAATGATCCCCCAGCAGAATAGTGAGTATTGGAAACCTGTTTATTTAATTCTTAAGTCTAATATCTCTTTTGCTAATGTTTCTTTCAATAGTTCATATTGCCAATTAGATTATTATATAAAATCTAGCTGAGTATCTCAATTATTTCATAATATTATATTCAAAAGTTTCATTATTTTAATTTAATTTACATTTGTGTTAATTCTGGTCACATTATTGTTTAGATTCATCGACAAATAAATGCTTACAACTTAATTTCAGTTGGATTGATAATACTTTGCACTGTACATAATAACCCCCCATCATGTTTTCAGCACCACAAAGAGACGTAAGCATGCAGACAAAGTTGGCAAGGGATTAAGGCATTTTTCAATGAAAGTTTGTGAAAAAGTCAGAAATAAAGGCTTCACTTCATACAATGAAGTTGCAGATGAATTAGTGCTCGAATTTGCAGCAGGGATGCATGGTTCAGCAGATAGCCAAGTATGTATAAGAAATCAATCAATATACTTTCTTTTCTAATTTATTGTTAAAAAAAAAATTGCAGATTACATTAAATAATCGTAAATAGTAGTTAAATATTTTGATTACTAACTAATAATTGTAGTTATAATCACGATTACAAGATTTCTTTTCGTAACTACACATTTAAATTAATGCCCATCACAGACAGCTAAAATATTATATTTCTGTGTACTTATGGCTAATTTGAATGATTAGCCCAATTGACCATTTTTTATTTTAGTTGATTTGCAAATTATTCAAATTGGCGTTGAAATTGTGAAATAAACTGAAGATTTTTTATGCAGTCAGATCCTGTAACTTATATAACACCACATAACAATGTTTATTTAATTGCAAAATATTAGACTAAGAAGACAAATAATCAGTAGTTATACTACTATATTCCAGTAATCAAATTAATAACTACCTTAAACTGTCAAACACCAAGCGGTCACCGGTGACCGCAACCTATTGTTCTTTAATTGTGTCTACAAAACCGGTACTCGACGAGTTAAGTAGTTAGATTACTCTAGTTAAGTTACAAATAACTACATGTAATCATAACTATACCTCTATAACTACACCCTACACTGGCCCTGAGCTAGTGTTTTCTCAATTTACAAACATAAAGTCAGCAAGCAGCAGCTAGTGGCCTAGCTAGTCAGCTCAGCCACCACGCCAACCGCTAATTTGTAAGCAATTATAGCTGCCCCAGAGAATTAAGTAAAAATTTAATTCAGAGTAATTTAACATTACAGCAATATGATCAAAAGAATATACGTAGAAGAGTATATGATGCATTAAATGTTTTAATGGCAATGAATATAATATCTAAAGAAAAGAAAGAAATCAGATGGCTTGGACTACCCACAAATAGTGTACAGGAATGTACTGCACTGGAAAAAGAAAAACAGGCTAAGTTAGAGCAAATACAGAAGAAGACTCAACAATTACAAGAACTAATATTACAGGTAAGTTAATTGAGGTTTATTTTCGTTTTGCAATATTGTAGATGTCATGTAATTTGGAAGGAAGATGCCAAGAATGATGGGTGTGAGATTGACAGTTGAAATTTTTCAATCTGTTATATTTTTTTCTAAAATGTTTCTTATGAAGACTCTTGTAATATGTAACTCTACCATTAGTGTTGTTCATACATTCCCATGTAATATTAACATTTACTTTTTACATTTCAGCACATTTCATTTAAGAGTTTAATAGAGAGGAATAAAGAAGCTGAGAGCAAAGGAGTGAAGCCATCTCCATCGTCAGCTATCCATTTGCCATTCATTGTTGTGAATACTAGTGATAAGGCTTTAATTGACTGCAGTATTTCTAATGATAAGTAAGTTATGTACTACATCAACAAAATTTTACACTAAATTCATTCCAATGAAATATACAAATGTCAATTCTACAATATTATACAACCAGGAAGTGCATGTTTATGTTATAATTATTAATATTATTTTGTGTTTGAAATCTTAATGTATGCTTTTATTATGTTTTCAGGACCGAATACATGTTCAACTTCAACAAACGGTTCCAAATACATGATGACATTGATATTTTAAAAAGAATGGGTTTGCTATTTGGTGAGTTAGATATTTGTATAGAAGTTCAGATTTAAATATAATTTATGGCATTTCTGTTCTATTTAATATCAATATTTTTGTCTCAGGTTTAGATAAAGGTGAATGTTCAGAAGAGGACATAGAAAAGGCAAAGAGTATGGTTCCAAAATCTCTAAAGACATATGTAGAACGTAAGTATCCGTTATTCAATTATACCTTACATGTCATACACTGCCTTATATATGCTTTGTCCTATACTCCAATGACACTATTTAGTTAGAACATGTTTTCTTATTTTTCCATTGCATCATTCCATTTTATGTTACACTAGCTACTCTTACGCTGTTTCACGCGCTCGTCTCGGCTCCTATTGATGATAACGCAATGTTAAATTTATCCAGAAATGCCAAACAACACACACAAAAAGAATTATCCAATTTGAACCAATAGTTCCAAAAATTTGCAAACACCTTTTTTACAGAAATGGGCAGAGGAGTAATTACAAAATTGTCGACAATGCTGGAGGAAGGTGACCTCGAGGACGAAGGTGGTGAGGAGGATGACGCGATTGAAGGAGAGGCAGAAGCAGATGAGGAACAAGAAGAAGCGGAGGGTAATGAGTACAGCGACGACAGTAGCGATGTCGACGTGTAGCTAGCGATGCGTCATTTACGCCGAGCTACACCTTTATAACTATTTTGTTTATATTACCTAGGTGTTACTGTTGCATGTGGGCTAAGTTTATGTAATATGCCACACAAGTTCAAACATTATATTAGCTTAAAACATATTTTGACACAATGTAATAATTTAATATTATATTTAAAACAATTCCAATAATACAAATTGACTTTAATAGTATCATTTTTGTTTATTATTCTTTCATTGCCAGTATATTAGTTACTTATCATTGTGTTTTCCAAGTTTGTAGATCTTTTTGTATAAGATAACAGTATTAGGTGATGATTAGGAACTAAGAGATGAAACTAAATTTTGCTCTTCAGTTTAACTAGTCTCAATTTGTTTATGATCTCAAGTATCGTTTCATCTAAAAGCTTTTCCTTTTGAGAAAATATTTTTGTAACATGATTGTGCAATTGGTATATTATTTGTCTGTGAATTTTGCTCTTGTAATAGATTGATGAATTTTGTTCATCAATTTATAAATTATCTGTGTATCTGAAACCTATATAAAGAGATGACATGGACATCCTTTGTTCTGTTATTTCTTGAGACTTTTATTTGAAATGGAATTGTTTTAATGATAAGTGAAATAAATGTCAATAAAATTATAATTAATTATTTTATTTATTAGAACTTTACAACTAAATCAAATTTCAAAAGCATCTATTCACTTCAAATCGTCATCATCAAATAAGTCTTCAAAATCTGAAAAGATAAAACAATATTTCATTAGAATGTTTTAAAAGACAAAGGGGCAATTTTGTATTGAGCATGGGATATCTGCGGCCACGAAAAATTTTGTTATTAGGACATGGACAAATTTTACTTACTTGGCTTTTATATACAATGCAAAAAAAATTAGGTAATAAAGAATTTTGTATTTATACATATAAGACAGGGCTGTCCAAACAAAGGGCCGCATGCCGCCGTGGCTTGTTTTCATGTGGCCCGCGACACACATTTCAATCTCAACATCTTCATCTTATGTGCAACAACAATAATAAAATTCAGTGTATGATTTGTATATAAGTTCTATCTGTGAGTAAAGAATACAATGTTAAATATCATTATACAACTGAAAACATTTTTCTGGTACCTCCAGCTTTTGTCAGAAATTGAATTTGCCCTCAAGGGTATATAGTTTGGACAGCCTTGATATGCATGAAAAACAACATCCCTTCTACATTCAGGTAAAAAGAAATCTTGATAGTCTAGAAGAATCATAAACCATCAAGTCTTTTCCCCTTGGGGCTCAGAAGCACATAATGCCAAATATACAATATATACTCTTTGTTTCACCAGTTACACGTGTTAAGTTAAGACACATGTAATAATATTATAAACAAATATACTTATGTCATTGTATCAGGGTAAACGTTACTTGTAGGTTGGGTATGTTGTAAAATGGCATGTATATAATAGTCTGTTATAAGGTGGGTAATACTAGTAGGAAATGGACTATTTTTTTTCTTAACTCGTTGAGTACTGTCATTATAGACACAAAGAACAATAGGATAATGAATGATTTTAAAAAGAAATTAACTCGTCGAGTATCGTCATTATAGATACAATTGTAGAACAATAGGTTGCGGTCACCGGTGACCGCTTGGTGTTTGACAGTTTAATATTTATGAAGCTCTAGATATTTTCTTAATAAGATGTTTCAAACAAACCATTGAAAAAATCTGAATGAACTGCCTTTTCGTTTGCTGCCAGGTCCATAAGTAGATTTGAGGGGCCACCAGCCTGTAAAAAAAGTGAATTATTAGTGTATATTATTCAATATAAAGCACTATATATTTTTTATTGTAACAATAGGTATAAACTTACTTCTTCTAAATCCATGTACGGTCCAACGCCTTCAGGAAACATTTCATCCGCTGCTACCGTCGGTTTCATCGCTATTTGATTTTGTTAAATGTTGTATTAACTTTTTCAGGACTACAATAGAAATAACAATTATCAAAAAGAGTTCAACGAACATAGGATATTATGAAACAGTAAATACATACTAATTATTAAACTCTGCGTCTTTGCTACCGAGGAAAGTCGCAAAGGGGTATTACAGTAATCACAAACAACCAGGTACCCACCAAGGAAAGAGTTTACTGCGATAGTAGGTATTATTAGAGCACGTCTATTAGTATTGGTAGTAGTTGTGATTATGTCAGTCAGACAAATCTTTGACAATGTCACTGCATTGACATTACTTTTTGTTAAATTTGTTTGATGGAAAGCACAGACCATAATAGTATAGGATGGGCCGACGTCAGTGGCCGACGTTTGGCCACTATGTCTGGCCTAGTGGTAACATGGAGGTGACATACCATACATACATACATACTGACCTAATAGTACTGAAAATCAGCGCCGTGGACTCGAGTCTTCGTGCCCGGGCTATGATATTAAGTTAGGCCAGTCTTTTGCGCTGCGACTGCGACTGTATTCTTGTTGTGTGTCGTGTCGTGGAGTTATTTTTTTTATTTCTTTTTCTTTCTTTCTTTCATAATGCCTCATTCACATCCACACGCTTGATGTTTGTCACAAATATCAAACACTAAAAAATTAAGTCCCACACATCGATGTATAGCAACTGCTTGGCGAACAGCCGTTAATTTTTTTATACCACGATAGTGGGAATCACTAAGCATACAAAGGACTCGGCTCACCTGATTTGTGTTTGTGACACCGATGCCGAACAGAGGCAAACATTAACATGAACAGGCACATACATACATAGATCATACCATCCGCAAGCGTGTGGATGGATGTTGTATGGGATACTTTATTTGTGTATCATTACTGTGAAAATGACATACATGAATAACTGTCAATTGTTATCAAATCAAGCTGAACCACTGACATTGTACGGCATCGCTATCAGTTTGACATTGACAATTCATTGACAATGTTCACACGCATGGTTCGCAAATATTTATATCAGATAATTGACAGTGGATAGTCCTAAACGTCTATTCCTATTTTCTATTCTATTTTTTTATCTTCAGTGTATAACTGTAAAGTTTCAATTTTTAACAATGCTATCTTACGACAATAAGATTGTATTGGCGCCAATGGTTCGCATCGGCACATTACCCATGCGACTTTTGGCTCTACGATATGGTGCAGATTTAGTTTATACTGAAGAACTAATCGATTGGAAATTTTTAAGATCAAAACGTAGATATAATGGTTAGTATTCTAATTTCATTACAGACAAAATAAAACTTGACTTGTGGTACCTACGTCGTTTAACTATTATCACAACATGTACTTACTTTATTTGTCCCTAACATACATGAAATAACCTGTACAGCTATTCTTCCTAAATATCTATCAGTAACAATGAGAATACAAATGAACTATAAACTTGAGTTAAATTTATTATGTTATGTTTTCAGATATTTTAAATACTGTAGACTATGTTGATCAAACAGATGGAACAATCGTTTTCAGGACTTGTAATGAAGAAAAGGACAGAGTAATACTACAGCTGGGAACATCTAATGCAGAAAGAGCTTTAAAAGTTGCAAAATTAGTGTAAGTATTAACTTATTGTTGAATATAACATCATTGCTGGTTAGTGTTTTATAGAAATGAATAAGTAAGTAAATACCATCTTAAATATATTTTTTTCTTGCAGAGAAAAAGATGTAGCAGCAATAGATATAAATATGGGATGCCCAAAGGAATTTTCTATCAAAGGTGGCATGGGTGTTGCTTTAATGGCCCAGCCAGAAAAAGCATTTAACATATTGAAAACTTTAGTAGATAATTTACCTATACCAGTTACTTGTAAAATAAGGATACTTCAAACACCAGAAGAAACATTGGAGGTTGTAGAGAAACTGGTGAGTTCAGGAATCAAAGCAATTGGAATACATGGCAGGACAAGGGATGAACGTCCACAACATGCAGTTCACACAGATATAATAAAGTTTGTTGCGGAAAGAATTTCTGTACCAGTTATAGCAAAGTATGTCCTCGAGAGATGCTTAAAATATATAGCTATTTGCATAAATATATAAAACCCTTTACCTACTTCTAATTCTTACAATATATTATTTCAGTGGAGGTTCTAAAGAAATTGAAAAGCATGCTGATATTTATAAATTTAAAGAAATGACGGGATGTTCCAGTGTTATGATTGCAAGAGCTGCAGAGTGGAATTGTTCCATTTTTAGGAAAGAAGGGTTACTCCCAATGGATACTGTCATTGAGGAGTATCTAAAACTTGCTGTTGAATATGATAATTCACCATGTAACACAAAGTACTGTGTACAAAATATTTTGAGAGATTTACAAGATACACCCAGAGGGAGACAGTTTTTAGATTGTCAAACACTAGAACAAATATGGTAGGTAACAGTAATTCGAGGTCACCTGATTGTAATTATATAGCCTATGCTATGACAAAACTGCATTTTTTTTCTTTTTTAGCTCCATATGGGGTTTAGGAGAGTTTTGTAGAGAAACACAGTCCAATTACCAGAAGAGGGGAATTAAAGGAAGGTGGCAAGTCACTCCAGATGATTTGGAGCCTCCTCAAAAGAAAATGAAAGCACTTGACATTGATGTAACAGATGTCATTCAAATGAAAGTAAGTGATTATTGTGTACATACATTTGTCTTCAATTCTAATGAAATAGTGTAATTAATTATCTACTTTAACATTTTCAGGTAAGTTTTATTCGAGCTAATTTTAATGATCAAACTTTACCCAAATTCAAACTCCATTCATGGGCTGGCAAAAATGGCCTGAAATTGCCTGTATATGAAACACATCAAGTGGAAAAGTTATTCCGTACAATAATTACCTTCAATGGCAAAAAATACTCATCATCATTTTGGGAGAAGAACAAGAAATTTTCTGAGCAAGGTGCAGCTTTAGTCTGCATATTTCATTTGGGATTAGTAACAGAAGAAGATTTAATTAAACTTGGTAGTATAATAAAATAATGTTTATTACCCATGGATTTTTGCATTACATCCCTAGTTATAATATAATTTTTATTTTAAAGTAATTTACTAGTCAGGCAACTAGTATATCCTTCATTTAGATGCAACAACTATACTCATAAATTAAAAAAAAACACATGTATTTTGATAAAGGGGTATACTAAGCCCATGTAAATACAAAGTTAGTACATTACATTTGTTTTCTCAAACTAGTTATGTTGTCTACTAATTTTTGATTTAATTCATCTAACTTTGAATTTAGTCCGTCTTGTTTCATTACATCTTCTTGAAGCTGCTTAAAATTTTTATAACTACAATATGCATTGTGTAAACTTTCATTTCCTTCCACTAATTTAATGGGATGGTCTTTCACCTGAACGACTTCATTGTCAAATATATCTTCTAATACTTGTTGAGAAGTAGGAATGTTGGGTACAGTGTACTTGTCCATGATCTTATTCGTAACTTTATATCGGACTATTATTAAAACCAAAAGCGCGTTGAGTTTTTCTGCAAAAGAAGATGTAAACCGTAATAAATTAGAAATGCAATTGATTAATACTGACAGTGAATTATGTCAATCTACCTTAAAAATGCATATAAATAACAGAATAAATTCAGAAAACAACATTAAGCAATAATTCAATAGATTACCTACTAAACAATATGACATACACGTTTGACACTGACAGTGACAGTATGCTGATGACAGCATTAGCTTATCAGGTTAGGTACAATAGTGCTGTGCGGACCATATTTCTTTTTTGAAACATGTACGGTTTTTTGTTAGGCGATTATAATTTAGTTCTGGTTGTCCTATTGTATATCACCCGAAAATCGTAAGTAATAATAGAAAACAGTGTGCAATATTTATGACTTCGCAGTAATACTAAATAATATATTAGCAAAGCATCGAAAAAGTAATACAATCATTTGAACATTTTGTTTCCACATTCAAAATATAGATGGCAGTATATATGTTTAATTTTTTTTTTGTAAAAGCCAAGGAAGTTATACTAACAATGTCAATCACTGTGTACTTGTCGAACATGGGTTCCGTTACGATATAATATTTTAAAACTAGCTTTTGCCCGCGACTTCGTTCGCGTGGACTTCAGGTTCGTCCCGTCTAGTCTAGTCTAGTAATAAGTAAGAAATACGGTAACTAAGCACTGCAGAGCCCTAATCATAGGTCTATAGGTAGCTACTGCAGTATGCTCCTATAAACTACATTTAACGATTTTTTTCCGAAATTGCTATGACTCTGCATTTTAAATCTGTAATATCTTCGAAAATATTTAATTTACATGCTGTAAAAAGCCATATTGATCTTTATTAAATGCACAATGTATTTAAGATACTTAATTGGATAAGGATTAATACTGTATTGCTTAAAATCGCTTCGTAAATAAGCCGTATCGTACAAAGTAAAGGATAAAAAATGGTTATTGTGGGTTATTCCTAAGAGATAAACATATACCATCACGGACTTTTTTGTAGACCTTTTTAAGTTGTACAATACTGTAGTACATTGTTTTGATCTATCTTGTAGGATTCAGTCAGCGTTTGCAATGTAAGCGCAAAAAATGTGTTTTTTTACGACCTCACATTAGAAACCTCAAAAATTGTAGCCTATGTGTTATTCTGATGTATATAAGCTATAGCCTATGTGTTATTCTGATGTATAAGCTATATTGTGGTAAAGTTTCATTCAAATCCATTCAGTAGTTTTTACGTGAAAGAGTAACAAACATCCATACATCCATACTTACAAACTTTCGCCTTTATAATAGTAGTAGGATATTTGTATATAAGTGCCTATAAATTTGTACTTAGAAAATATAATCACTACCTGATATAAAACACAGTCGTGTTTTTATGTGTTTCTGCATATCTGTGTATGAATCGATTTTTTTAACTACTACCCCGCGTGGTTTTAGCCCGCTGCTCGGCTACTATAGATCGTAGCGTGAAATTTATATTGCCTTTCTCGGTAAATGAACTATCCATCGACATCTTACCATAAGGATGTCGATGGGACAACATACATATATCTAACACAAAAATAATTATTCAATTCAAACCAGTTGTTGCGGAGATTAGCTCCGCCAAATATATAAACTCTTCAGCTTTATAATAAGTAGTAGGTCTATTCGCGCGCGGCTTCCCCGCTGCCCGGTTTCTACTGATCGCCACGTGATGTTTTCATAAAGATTTTTATCACTAAGACCGTTAGCGTTCTTTAATAAATAGACTATATGACACAAAGATATTATTTAATTCAAATCTTCTGGTTCCGGAAATTAACGCTATCGAACAAACAAACTTTGCAGGTTTACGTATATCTAAGTAAGTATAGATTCGCACAGATCAATATAATAGGAATGTGTCTACGTATACTTTTTATTACGTACTTAGGTTTACCTAAGAAAATTATTTTCGATACCTTTTCATCTCATTGTCGTAGTATTTCTGTAACCAAAACGCATGTTCATGAATTATTGGATTACTACATTGTTGGCAGAGTGGTCGCAAGTGCGACTGCCGGGAAAGGGTCTCGAAGGATTTTTCTCTCTCGAAGGGTCTCGATTCACTCGGGAAATATTACTGGGTTTTTAAAATTCTCAGTGGTAGCACGTCTGGAATTGTGCCCGGTATGTAGCAATAGCCTCGCCCCCTATTACATGGGACTCATAACATAAATAGTCAAAACTGGGTGTTACATTGTATAATGGCATGAAGTGCCGCAATGTCCAACTCTGCCTACTTCGAGGATAAAAGTCGTGATGTTATATATATAAATTACTATAATAATATTTTTCTTAACAAAAGATTAACGTTTTGAAAGTTATTACTTTGATTCTTTCCCTGTGTTAAATTCAGTAAAAAATAACAGCTCTTGTTGCACTGTAGTTATTTAGATGGATAGTTTGCGGTTTCCTGTGGTAACCGCGACTGGATCGACCTCGATTTCATGAGCTTATGTTACGCTCATTTGCTATAAAAATAAAACACGTGGACGTTAGCTGCAACAAGAAATAAATATTCTAGTTGGTTGGAAACAAAAAATATGTACTTAAATCATCCAAAAAGTTGCTCCTTGCGAAAATCAAACCAGAGACGTACAGCTACTGACCACCTGGATGTAGTAACTCTAGTTAGATAATGTACGTGAAATCGCAAACTATTATTTCCTAACACTCAAGGGAAGGACAAGGAAATAAGATCTTCTTCTCTTTGTTGCACTTTTGATCCTTATCCGTGGGTTGCTGGGCTCGCTGCCATTGCAGCGGTATGACCCTTCTTTGAGGAGTGGCTTGAGAGACGCTACGGCGTCCTCACCTACCGCCTGACGCAGGTCCTCACCGGACATGGAAGTTTCGGGAGGTACCTGTGTCTGATAGGGCGGGAGGAAACGCCCGGGTGTCATCACTGCGAGGACCGCCCTGAGGATACGGTGGAACACACGGTGGGAGAATGCCCTTCGTGGGCTGAGCACCGCCGTGCCCTCAGGGAAGTGATCGGCGATGGCGACCTCTCGCGTCGTTTTTTTTTTTTATATATTACATTTCTTATTCTCCACGGACTCTTGTCCGTGCCCTTGTCATTCCATTACATTTTCCATTACATTCGATGATTTTCCCCCCTTAAAAAAAAAAATCCGTGGGTTGTACGAATAAAAACTCTAGTTACTCATGGCTACAGAAATTTGTAATAAACAGCGTTTAGTACTTACATAACTTAGAATTATCCAACATTCGCATCTATGTTGTCAGCAATGCCTGGGCTATTGGCTGCTGCACATTTTGTCGCTGGTTCATTTCCCACATGGAACAACTCTTTATAAGATTCACAAATTATTGTTCCGAGCCTGGGTGTGCGTGTTATGCTATTTCATATGTTTGTAAACGTACCTAGAAAACAAAGAAAAATACCCTGGTGTGGGAAAGTGTTATTTTTAAATAAATAATCAATTTGATAATTTCTATGGTATGAGAATTCGTTTTAATTTAATATAGACAATAGATAATTTTAGAAGGTATCCCTTCAAAAGAAGTCAACTTACCAAACGAAATATAATAAATGAACATATTTTTTATGTTCCAGTCAAGTGATACTACCTTGTGAGTGATAGGCGAGAGACTTGATATCGCCCGACCACAACACGTGTGGTCTCCGGTCTATCAAATAGTAACGTTTCGATACTAACCGACAGGCATCAGATTACACTCTGCTCGAGTAATCGTGAAACGCTTCTGTGATTGTTAATTACTAAATTACAAAAGTCTTGTTAGTACGAAGACCAGTAATACGTAGGTATTTATAAAAATAGAGGCCTACGTAACGAAGAAAGAAGCATTTTATTTGTACATCACAGTAAATTATAAATGTGAAAGTTTCTTTGTTTGGATGTTTGTCCGTCAATCACACTGAAACTCTCAAAGGCATTTGATTGCGTTGACCACAAGACACTTTCTGAAATTAGATCATTACGGGATAAAAAACTCTGCGCTCCGTCTTATGAAAAGTCTTATTTAGAAGAAAGACAGTTAAAGGTTCATGTTAACGAGATTAACTCACAGGGCTCTGGAATGAATATGGGCGTTCCTCAGGGTTCAATATTGGGTCCCTTTCTCTTTTTAGTCTATATAAATGATTTGCACTTTATATTCAAGAATTAACCAAGAATGGTGCTTTGAAGTATCATGTTGGACTATAAGATTTTTTATATTTTGTTTTTTATTTTAATTTAAAATGTATTGTAATTTGTATAACGTAATTGTAAAGTTAGGACTTACGTGTATTACTATAACCGTAACTCGTAACCATAACTTGATAGCAAGTCGGCTGCATCGAAAGAGTTTAATAGTGGGAAGACAGTGCTACGCGCTACGTGCTACGTACTACGAGCTACGGATGTAGTAATTATTTCGCCGTAACTTAAGTGTAAAGGGTAGGTAGGGTTTATAGATTAAGGGCTGGGCATGTAGATATAGAAACTTGGCACTAACATGAGATCTGATTAATTATAGGCAGTACTAGCTATATTTTCTTATCTTGGCAACATTTTACATGATATTTCTTTGTTAACTACATTTAAAAAACCGACTACGCCCCCTTTTTTTATGTGGATACACTTTTCTAAAAACTGAATAAAAATCGGTTCAGCTTAAGGAATCACGAGATAATTGAGCATACATACAACTGAGAACCTCCTTTTTTTGAAGCCGGTTAAAAATGTTTTAATGGTTTTAACAGTTACTTATATGTATACATTTATAGGAATTAGCATACGATATTTTGACAACGTTGTAGTTGGTTATTTTTGACATATTCCCTTCCTTTTCAGGTGGGTTTCATTCTACTACTATTCTTTTTCTAAAAAATGATTTATTGTTTAAACTATCAAGCTACACTTTGATTCTGTTGAAAAAATTCAAATATTTATATTTCGAATGTGCCACTTCGGAAATAACGTATAATATTGTTATAAACTAATAACATCACGCAATTTTATGCCTCATTTAAGAATATTTATCCAATGACGAAGAATGTAGATAAGGATCATCATAATATTACTAAATTCGAACTACTATGAAGTGACTAGACTCTAGTCACTAGAGGCTTGTGCCTCTAGTCACGCACCGGGCAGAAATTCTGTACTTACTTTTCTATTACTAGGAATGCATTGCAAAAATCAATTATTAGTAATACCTATACTTGGAATTTGACCACAGGTCGTTGCTCGGCTGTCATAATTGCAGGCATTTAATCTGTTGTATAAAAGATGTGTGATTACTTGACTAAATATTATGTATATTAAATATCTTTTAAAAAAAATATACCAAACAAAAATCGTCTTCGTTATGTTGTCGGGTGATGAAGTTTTTATTGTTAAAAATATCATAAAAGCCGTTGTGCATCTAATGAGTTTTTTGATTTACCACCGCCTCTGCCAGCGGAGAATATTGTCCGCATTTTGAAAGAAACCGCGAAATTAGCAGTGAATGCAGCCATCTACAACGACAACCGCGGCCCGGCGGTGGAGTGCCGGCCAAACCGCAAACTCTTCGTCCCAAGGCCCGCATGCAACGCGTCGGTCCTAAGAATCTGAATTATCTTTAGAAACTTTGCTGTTGCGGCATTTTATTACTCCAAACCACAGAAAATTATTAACCGTACGAGAAAAAATAACATATTTCAAAATATCGCTAACGTGCATCCGAGCTTGGGATACTTTTGTTTTGACAATGACAATAGTTCCTGTACTCGCGTCGCGATATGTCACCCTACATTGTATTGCATATTTAAATGACAAGCAACGTGACACTGGTGCGCAGTCGGCGTGAAAAGGCATAATATTTTTAACAATTCAATGGCTGGCTCTTCAAATCGCTACTCGTAGCATCTCATTACCAGTGATGGAAATGAGGGGCTGAGCATTTACTGGTCTTAATAGTTTAACTTTTATTAGATATCTGAAATTAGTACATGGCAGCAATGGCAGTTATGAAATTAATTACGATAAGTTACAACCGGTAAGTAACACTATACTAACTACCTTAGATTTTCAACTTATTTAAAAAAATGATTGCCCGTATTGGTTTATGAAAAAGCTGTTTTTACAGATTGGTCTGACCAAAGTTATCGCATATGGAAGATCTTCACATAGAGATCTCCCATATCCGGTTAATATGGTCAGACCAATCTGAATATTAAATAAACTAAGTCAGGATTACCTTTTATATCATTAAGTTTTGATGATTTTATTTATTTTTTTGGTGAGTCACCGTGACTCAAAATAATAGGAAATTAGGTACGTTACGTTACTATTTATGTTATTTTTAAAGATTCAGAACATAACATAACATAACGTCACGCCTTTTATCCCCGAAGGGGTAGGCAGAGGTGCACATTACGGCACTTAATGCCACTGTACAAT